AGCACCTGGAATTTTTTGGTCAATCATTTTGTTTTGGGGACATTAAGATGAAAGCCTTTCGTTTGAAACCACAAAGATATACTATGATACTTCAGACTGTGCCCTTTTGAGCAACTAATGCTACGGAGATAAGAAGTATAGAAATGAATATAAAAGGGCTGGAATATTTTCTCAACTTAGCGTGAATGGCGAAAAAATCCACGCCATCTGTCCTCTTAGAACTCCTACTGAGTTTGGCGTTTTGAAGGGCTCCATTCACGAAATTTTCCAATGAAGGCACTTAAAGGCAAAGGTCGGGCTCAGACACGCTAGAGAAGTAATTCCCGTGCCTGGAGGTTGTATGTGGGTAGCTGCACACATTGCAGCAACTTTCCACCTTGAAAAACGTCGTTAAGGCCCCGGGGAAGGAGTAACATCCCAAAGATGGTTCTTAATGAATGGCAATGGGTCTTGTTCTCATCTTAGGTCATCTACTCATCATTTGCTGGAAAAATCTGGTGAACGGTGTTACTTCATCCGAGTGGCAAAGGCCATTTTTTCTCGATGTAACCCTACATTTTGCATCTTTGAAGAAAACTGGTACCAGTTAGTCAAGCTAGCTGTTTTGATAACAGTGGAACGCGGAAGTCGGCATTCCAAGTCCGCCTTGAGCATGAGGTCCTCCTCAATCAACTAGTGGCTATTATCTATACATCGAGCAACTAATTATGCAGAGCAATTGAGGCTCTGCACCTCATTGGTTTCTTAATATTCCCGAAATTCTGCAAAAAATCCGATCCTAAGAGACGCCGAGCAACTTGGGAGCCCTGCTGGAAGGCTAACGTCCTCAATCGGCGAATAACGAGGTGCATGGTCATTTCGGAATGGGTCAATTTGGCCTTTGAAAAATGATGCCGGAAAAAACACGAGACATCGAGACATTAATCCCAGTCGCTCATATCTTTCAGTTCAGGGAACAAAAAAGCGACTTGAAATTTCAATTGATTTTCATAACCCGAAGGGTCAACTTGCTAATCTCGAGCTCTGTAGAGAGCCAAAAACTTCGTATCCTGCGCTGTGCGATTCAGAGGAATTGGTCGGGCAGAGGCGTACGGTTTCCACGCCAATCTCGTTTTTGATTGCTACACGGTTAGCATGATGGTTGGCGAGGTTCTGGAGACGACTATATGACCGTATTCATGCCGGAAAGGGATCACGCCAATTTTGAAAAGGTAACTGGTCAGAGTCAAATATATTATATGCGTTTAATTACATAATGATAAGTTAGGGTCGAACTAATTTTCGAAACTGTTCGGTCAACAGGGGGGGACCATCGCATGTTGTGTCCCTGTTCCTTCTGGGAACATTTTCGCGGACGGACGTCTAGTTAGCGTCCGTGGTTTTCTCGCTGGACTCTCCACTGGGTCAAGATGGTTATCGGTATGTCTTTGACCAATAAAGGGTTTGGAGATGTTCGCTATTTAAGAAGATTTGGAACGTGCATGCTTACCTCGGGTTATAGCATTCTGACTTACACGTAGGCCTTCGATTTCGCATTACCTTGTGAAATTCATAGTTCGCGGGTTTAAGCCGCGCGCAAATTGCAGAAAAACAAGATTTGTCAAACATTTAAAACGGTCAGCCTTCCAAGCTCGGATAACTTCCGCTGCCTCCTTTTTCCTTGACATTTGAACTCGTATTTGCAACCGGGTCAACTTCAAAAGCAACGGATCTGAGAATTTTTGGTAGACGCGTCTCGGGGACGTGAAGCGACGACAGGAGCAGGGGAGTCAGTTATGGAATCAATTTTAATGAGCGTATTACAGGTAATTAACATGTGAAGGTAAACATTCTGAAAATCCCTCTTCAAAAGGTTTTGGAGTCGGGTAATCTCAAGGGCGACCGTCTGCCCTCTACTCAGTCCACTGGAGTTTTTCTTGACCACTATACTCTTCTAATTTCTTGCCCACTTTCAGCTTACTATCTTACGAAAATAGCAGGGACAAGTGGGATATAAATCAATCAATATAGCAAAAATTTCTTGATACAGTCTCCTTCAAGGAATCAAATGTGACCCAATGGTCGAGGAAACCGTGCAAGCGCTTTGATCCTGTCCAGAAGTTAGGCTCACCTTGGCGTTAGTGCACGTCAAGGATATCTCGTCGCTTGGAGTTAGTGGACTAACAACAAAAGGGTTGTGAGAAAAATCTTTCTTCTCCTTCTTGGAAACTTGTACAAGAAGTAATTGCCCGATAGATGGTGAAACCAGTTAGGGGGGGGCACTCCGTTGCTATCTTATCTGTAGAACTGAAGAGCACTCCTTTACGCTATCCAACGCAATGGATAAGATAATAAGATTTCATCATCGGCCAGCCTTTAAAGTCCATGTGTAAGAAAATGCGTGCAAGCGGCTTCACGAGTTCGAATATGCGTGCGATTTCTGGCGCGCGTGCAAATTGGCCGATCAGTGAAACCATTTCATTTTTTTGTTTTATCAAGTAGTGTTGTAATATATTTGGTATCTCGGATGAATTTGATTTTCTGAATTTTTTTTTTTAAATTTTGTGTTCGCCAATAACAGTCATTTCAAAGATCTATTGAGTCTCGGTGAACCTCATACAAAAACATTCAAAAGTC